AAAATAAAAATTGATGCAACTTTCTTTCCTAGTAAATTTGTTTGCTTCTCGAAGCATTGATCCATCCTTTGCAAGGCCCAGTAATCAGCGGTCGTGCTGCCGAGTTGGGCGAACGTTCCAAAAGTTGCTATTCAATCGCTTGTTTTGTATGGAAAAAGGTTTCACAAGAAAATGGATTTTAGCAATTCAGAATTTTTGTGAGAAAAAATTAAAAATATTTGACATTTTCGAGACCAAATAATTTGAAAATAAATCAAATCAGCTGCTCTACTGATACTACCTGTTCAATGTACCTTGGGTACAACCAAAATTTGTCGTTAAGCGACCGGAAACATAGCAAGCAGCGAAGTGGCGAATCGATGACGGCTATTTCGAATCAAAATTGGATAAAATCATTGAATTGCTTACAGCCGGTTTCACCAGCAATTTAAATGAAAAATTATTTTTTATTTCCTGTCAATTTCCTTCGTGAAATTGGCGGACTGAGGCCTTTCGACTTTATCGGGGACTAAAATAAAGTAGTCTGCGGCTCTAGGTTCGAGTAGTTCGAGTCCATCAGGCTACGTGGCTGTCACCGGATTTAAAGACGACTGAGCATGCTGTGATAGGCGGTAGGCACGCTTCCAGTGTTTTAGACCAGTTGTCGCTATATTAACACATTCAAACGATTCAATAAGTGGATCTGCGGGCGTTGAAAGCAATTCTCTGATACCACTTTTCGAATACATACATATGTACGTGTGAAACACTCATATGCCCAGAGAGCACTCAAGCTATGTGTTTTCCACAAAGGGAGTTCAAGAGGAATGCGAAAAGAATTTTTCATAATAAAAAGAATGTTGTCGAAATGCCTGTAAAGGTGAATAACTCGAAATGCGGCCCGATAGGAAGAAAGATAGGGGATTCAGGAATGGTTCTAATACCAGACCGAATTCAAAGAAGAACAAACACGACGACCGAGTGCCCGATATCCAAAGCGTACTAAAATTATTGAGACAAAACTTATCCACATCAATCCGGTGCGAGGAGGAACGACGTATGTACATACATTTCATTTCGTCAATTTCAAAGTTGCTTTTGCCAGCACGAAAAGATTTTGCCTCAACGCCGAGATGTCTGAATTTGGCAGTCCCGCGAAACTAATATGGCGTCGTTAAATTACTTTAAGCAACACCATAGGCTTCATCAGAATTGCCGTTCGATACCAAATAAGGTTTCGGACAGAGTGACTTCCTGTCGTGAAAAGATATCTGAGCTGCAGAACTGACATGTCACCATTTTCCGTGGTGAACGAGAAAAAGAAAAATTTTTCCGTGCATTACCACCAACTCATTCTCATTTTTTGTTTCATAACTAATACATTCTCATTTTAAGACTTTTCTCTTTTTGGCGGGCACTGATCTAGATCTTAAGCAGGGCGTCGAGAGAAAAGTCGGGCCCATATACATAAATTGTATTAATTCAAAAGCATGTGATCATTTTCTTTAA